GAAGCATGATTGAAAAGAAAGACGTAATTATTGTTTGCATTTCGTAGAAGTTTTGTTATTTAAGTTGATTTAATCTAAAGGTAGTTTGAATTACTTCGAGAATTTTGATTGAAAATGATGAAAAACAAAAAAACAAAAACAAAAAAGGAAAAGGAAAAACTACTTTTGATTTTATTAAAATATGCTTAAATAAGCGTAAATCGTTACAATTTTTTTTTTTTTTGCTTTACATTGAAATTTTACTTTTTCTTTTTTTTTAATTTCAATATTTAAATATTTAAATTATTCGTTACAAAATTATTTTGTTATATTTTTCTTTTTTTTTTATATTTTTTTCTTTTCTTTTATATAATACCAATGAATTGTTTGCATTATTATTTTTTTTGTCCTTTATTTTATTATTTAATTTTTGTATTATTTTTATAAAATCATGAAACGATCTACCATATCTGATCGCTTATCACTTCACCCTTATCATATGATGAGGCTAGTCTTCACAGTTACAATTTAAGTTTTCAATTGAAATTTGCAAAATTCATAAAATAAAAGACTGAATTTTTAAAAATTCTTGACAGATTTGAAATGACGAGGAGTCGCATATATATCAAAATTTCTTCAACTGCAAATCCTTTTATCTCGGTATTTCTGATGCGGCAAAGTCATAAAATTTTTGTAAATGCTTTTTTATTTTTTTTGAAATTTCCTTCAAAAACCTTTCATAAATGTGTTATGGTTGAAAATCCTTGTGGTTTTATGCAAATTTTTTTATAATATTTTCGAGAATTCTTCTTTATTTCCATCAATGATATATTTATTTGCCATATCATTGAACTAGAAAACTTTGTTTCCAGAAGAAAGGATTTAGTTTGAATTTAAAAAAATAATTCAAAGAGATTTTTTGTTTCATTTTTAATAATTTTCTTGATGAATATTTGAATAGCATCAGATAATAGTAAGATTTCATTAATTTGAGTTTGTAATACATATTTGTAAACATTTGATTAATTCAGTTCATTTTGAAAGACTTATATAAAAAATTTAATTTTAAAATAATTTTAACAAATCATTTTCAAATAAAATTTACACAATAGACAATAAAAGATTAATGGTATAATAATGAATCAGTAAGATAGAAAATTTTTCGGAAAATTTGCAAAATTTAAAATGTTGGTAAAACCCTAATATAATGAAAATAACTTTCTTCATTCAACTATTTATTTAATATTAGAATTTTTTTTTTTAGTAATTGATATTATAAGCTGTGCAAATACATATCGATTTTTCTTATAGGATTAAAATACACTTATAGAGAAGTCCTATTGAAATTTACTTCATAGTATTCTCTTCTTTGAAACTAAAAATAACTTTTGATATTATCGTAGGAAAATAAATGCTAATTGGAATGTCAGATACTTTTTGATTTAATCGATAAACAAATTGAGAAAAAATATTCTGACAAGTGCTGTGAGAAACTGCAAAATAAATCTTTGTTGATCTAAAGCTTTTATGATGAAGTATGATTAATCAGAGAGAGAGAGAGAGAGAGAGAGAGAGAGAGAGAGATTTGAGGATTCTTTCCTATTCTTCCAAAAAGGTAAAAAGTTTTCAATTTCCTTAACAATTTGACAATACTATTAAAATTTTTGATGATTTATAATGCCTTAAGTAATATTGCCTGAAAATATTCTGAGATTTCTTTCATTCCTACCAGTATTAATTGTTCGTTTGAAAATTTTTCATAAATAATAATATTTGATATCCATCCCTTCACTTTATCATTGTTATGCTTAGAACAATGACACTTTATTATTATTATTATTATCTTATTCTTATTTTTAAAAGCAATCAAACTTCTTACACATCATTTGCCAGAAATTTCATTTTATTTTCTTACACTAAATAATTTTTTCGAAAAAGATTTCAAAAAAATTATACCTTCAAGATGTTTTTGGAAAAATTTCCCAGCATCTTTTAGTAATATGAATTCATTTTCGGAACGTAACGTACTATGATGAGTCTCTTAGAGTTATTTCTTCATTAATTTTTACTTCTGAGTTAAATATAATTTTATATGTGCTTTTCTGAAAGAGAGAGTTATCGACCTCTAAATAATATTCAGGTGATTCTCCGTGAATTAATTAGTATAGTTTCTCTAAAATCATTGCTAGTTCTCTGTTAATAATCATTTTTCCTTTTTCCTTTTTGATTGTTTCAACATCCTTTAATTATTTCACTTTAGCTTTCTAAGTTACGAAGATTTTTAGCGATTCATCGATCGAATCTTTTTCTTGGATTTTAAACATATCAGTGCTTTTTATGAGCAGATTGTCTTGTAAATCAATGAATAAATGAATCTTTTTCATTATTTATGGTATTCCAATGAATTATAATTATAGTAAAATTAAGAAAAATTGAGGTGTTTAAACAAAAAAGATATGAAATGAAAATGGGATTTATTGAGATGAGTGAAAGTTTTGATGTTTCATATGCATAAATATAGCTAAGATTCATTTCATCCATCGACTGATTAAGTTATACCTCAAGTAGTTCTTTTTTTTGTAGTTCTTTCCCTGCATGGAAATCATCACTAAATCTCTCAGGTAACGGTTAGAGATCTCCGATATTCCCGGGAATATCTCCCAAAAAATAACGGAGTCTCAGAACTACCATATCACTAAATTGTGATTTTTACAATTATGTGCTTATCTTGTTAGCACTTCCAACCAGAGAAGTACGTGGTACTCGTACCCACACTGGACTTAAGATATCATTGCTGTAATCGATAAGTAAGTTATTATCCCACAATGTCATAGAAATAAGGATTTCTCTTTTTTCCCTATAGAATCCGACTGTCACGAATATGTCCCTTTCCAACTTAGCTGACCTTTTCTTAACCCGAGCAGTCATGAAGTAAACTACACTAAATATAATGATTACACCTTTTTAATTTGTTAAAACTTATTTAATCTATCGATAAAGTAATTAATTAAATGACGCGGTTAATTACGCAAATTGTGGTAAATTACTATTAAATTGAATAGGTAACAGTTAGAGTTTCCCACTGTAAAATGATCCTTGTAAGCTTCTTGATTGTTTCATGCAACAAAAACAATCAGAAAAAATCAATTAAATTTTGAACTGTTTAAATTTTGCAATATTGTGCTTATTTCATTATCATACAAATGCAGCTTGGCTGTTTTCATATCAAACTTAGGATGCTAACATTACTGAGTAAGTTGCTGTCCACTAATGATTATAAAAGTAGCTTTTATTCTTATAGAATGCTTCTACGATATATTAAAAAAGACATTTATTTTCTACTTTGCATAAATTACGTTTAGTTTTTCTTTTGTGAGTGAATTTACGTGATACGTGACATATCTAATTGTTGTCTCGTTTTTAGCTCACGTTCATCTCCATTCATTCCCTACATTTTCTTCAAAAGACGTGATTCAGTGATGTAAATTTCTATATAACAGTTAAACATTCCGGTATCCATCTTACAAAATGCAGTAGAGCGGAAGAATGGTTAATTAAATTATTGACGTGTCGTATCGTTGAACTCTTGATAGACTAATCAGATATAACTTAGCTATATGCAAATCAAATGTGAATTATCATTGTTGCCACCAATGAGTAGCTATCATTGAATCATCGAAATTTAAAAATATCGCTTCTATTATGATAAAATTTTTCCACTATAATAAATTATAAATAATTATTTTCTGCATTGTTTAAGTTACCTTTCAATTATTCTAATAATTTTCACTTTTATTTTTATTTCATCAGCTAAATGTCGCTTTCATTTATTCATCCTAATCGCATTCAAATTTCTTTTTCTTTCAAATAATTTTACTAATTTACAATTTTCATACTTACTTCATATTTTGTATAATACTTACTTATTCATATGTTTACATCGCTTAAATCACATTAAGTTTATGTGAAGCATAGGAGAGAAGTAATTGAGGAAGGAACTTCAGCTAATATCAGAATCAAGTAGGGCAGGCAAAATAGCTACTAGCAATGATTACTTATATGTTGATTTCCATTCATTGAAATGAAATGAATTTGATGGCTTCAGCAATTCATTTCCATAAATTTAAATCATCATTACCTCATTCATCCAATCAATTTCTGTTACATAATATATATCAAAAATTGCACAAACAAGCAAACTTCTAATCTAATTATTTCATTCAAAAAAAAAAAAAAAAAAAACAAATGTTTAATGTTTTTTTCTGTCTTTTTTTTTTCACTAATATATTATACATTTCATTTTTTTTTATCAAATTATATCCATTATTTTTTATCATTGATCTTTAAAGATTAAAAATAAAAGAAAAAAGTAAGCAATTTCGCTTTATGACTGTTTTATATTTCAATTGAAATGTTATGATTTTGAATAAAGTGAAAAAATTTACAATTATCATTATTGAAATGTTTCAAATTTAAATTTTATCGTCACTTTAGAGAATAATTCAAAAATATTCTTATTCCAATGCATGATTTTAAATTATTTCATTGATAAAAGGCTAACGATATATTTTATTATATTTCTTTTTTTTTTTTTTTTTTAAACGAAAGCAAATAATGAAATGATTTCATTTAACTAATTGTCAAAATTTGGGGAAAGGAGCAAATCAAAAATTTGCATATTTCAAAGACATGTAAGTGTAATATTAGAGAATGTTTTTTTTTAATTGTTTATTTCATATATCAGATTCTTGAAGTTTTACTTATTGATTACATGTATAAACTTGGGAAAATTTTCTTTGAAGAAAAGTTTTCCTAAAAGAAAAAAGGAAGTTTTTTTTTTCTTTCTGAGCAATTTTACCTTTTGTTTTAGACAAAAGAAAAGAGAGATAAACTGATAAGATAAACTGATAAAACGTAAAAAGAGGAAAGGTGGAATTGAGAGAGAAAAATGTAACGACAAATGCGCCTCTAGCATAATTCTACCATTTAAGCAAATTTCTTCATCAATTTACTAAATTTGCATGTTCAATGAGTATGTCAATTTACTTTTGAATTTATATATGGTATCGAAGATAAATCATCCAATGTTATATGTATTATTTGCGCTTTTTCTTTTTTTTTTTTTTGTATTGTTTTTTTTCATTCTTATTAAATTATTCAGAAATGGAAAATTCATTTTCAGATTTGAATACAAAAGGTTAGAAAAAAAGAAAAATCTGAATTGCATCTACGTGTACGTTGAATATTCTTCTTCACTTCTTCCATGCGTGATATGTTATTATTTCATTTTTGAAAATTCACTTTTTGTTGATACCACTTATTCTCTACTTTTCTGATGTTATTTTGCTAAAGGAAGAAATTGTGGTTTTATTATCGTCTGAAAACGTCGATAGATTATCAACATATCCTAAAAGGTAATTCAGGTTAATTCAGGTCACCATTATAGCAATCGTTACTATCACCGAATAACGTAACGTTCCGTCACTGTCCACTGAAAATTCGACTTTTTTTTTTTCTTTTTTCTAATTTCAAAGACGAATTTAGACAAAGGAAACAGGTACTTCCGGAATTGGTTACTACTGCAGCAGTATCCACTGCACTGCCATTAACTTTTAGGACGTCGTCTCTGTTGCATCGCCATCGCAGCTCAAGGCCGCAAAGCGGCGGCCTGCAGCTTCTGCTGCATCATAATCGTCATTATCATCATTATCATCACCGTTATCAACATTATTGTTATTATTCCTACCATAATCAAAAGTCGGAAATTGCAATACGATACGACGACATCGAGCATCGGTCGCTTGACAAACGATGCGAGCTGTTAGTGCTTTTATTTATTTATTTTTTTTGTCCTTTGATCATTTCTTATATAAAAATTATCGATGCCTCAAATAAAATTACGACTTTGATTTATTAGCATTTTTCATTGCTAAAGGCACCTTCCTTTCTCAGTAAATCCGTCACATCACGAATTTTGATGTTACACAAATTATCATCGGTAATCCTGAATGTGTTGTTGTCGTATATATATTGTGCTGGTGCATTTGTGTTATTTGTAGTATTGTCCTTTTTTTTTTTTTTTTTTAGAACATGATGAATCTGTTTCAAGTTATTTAATAATTTAAAAAAAAAAAAAAAAGAGAAAAGATTTTGCAAGGTAAGGTCAAAAATAATCCAAGTAATAAAATTTCAAATGGTACGATAGTATGACATCAGAATTTTTTCTTTAGGATAGCTATTCTTCTTAAATATTTGGATGATTTTAAAATATATAATTCAAATTTCATTTCGAATTTATAGGTGTTATAACATCTGCATATAAGAATAATAACAGTGTATAATAATGCACAAAATATTTCAGGATTTATTAGTAAAATAATGAATTATGCAGTAGACATCAAAGTAATCAGTAAAGAATATAAAATGATTAAAAGTTCAAAATTAATCAATATTTTCCTTAAAATTTCTTCAATAAATTTAATGATTCGTTATGCTATCATTGTAATATTTTCGCAATATTTTCTTTACAAAGACTTTATTACATACAAAAATGATGGTTTATAAAGATATTAATTAACTGAAATAATATTTAATTCTTCCTTGTGGGACCAAGCAGAGGAATACTTTAACTTTCAAAATTAAAGTTTCATTTCAATTTCAATTTTTGAATTTGCTTATAGATAAGTGCAACAAATATATTGCTTATGTTCATAAATTATAATGTGATAGTTGCGCTTATTATAGTAATATAATAGTAATTGAGTTTTAGTGCAAAATAGCACTAAATATGAAACATTTTCGATACATCAATTTATGAAATAATCGGTCTTTTTCTAGGATTTTATTCGTGAAGAAAGAGAGAGGGAGAGAGAGAGAGAGAGGGAGAGAGGGAGAGAGAGAGAGGGAGAGAGAATGAATTTGTATTATTTGTCTTTCCAACAAAATTTGATTATTTTTTCATTATTCTTCTACCACATTCAAATAATATATATTTTGTTTGTATAATCCATTTTAATTGAATAGCTGCAATAGTCTTTCACCACGATAACATGAGAGAGCACATTTAAAACAGTTCAAATTTTTAAAATATTTTTTCTCCTTCACCACCACTATCTCTATCATCGTTAAAAATAATTTTTCTTTTAAAAATCAGCTAATCCTAAACATTAATTACATTTCGATACATATTTTGTATATAATAAATTAGCCATTTCAAAAAAAAAAAAGCTTTTTTTTCCATCATAATTAACTAAATTTCAATAACATAAAATGTGCATCGATTATTTTTGTTTATTTGACTGTTTCATTGTTTATTTTAAATGATAACTTTTCAAAAATCCTATCTGTCATTCTTTATTTGTTTCGTTGCCATTGAACAGTTATTGTTATTTTCATCTCACAGTTAGCATTTGTTGGAAGTTATCTCTTCAAATAAACACATAAAATTTGTAAACAAATATAAGCGATTAATGCATCTCACATTCTCTTGAATATTAAAATGATATATGGGTTATAATAAAATTCATTTATTAAATAATTTATTGGTTATTGAAAATGTTATGTTATCACGTATATTTAGCAAAATACTTGGCAAATTATTATTATTGTTTTTTTTTTTGATTATTATTTTTACACTTTCGTAATTAATTCTAATTGATTAAAGTTGGAAATGATAATACTTTCAAATTACTATTGTTCTATTGGATTGGAATATTTGAAATTCTAATGAGCTCAAAATAATTTTGAGGATATGAATAGAAAGAGTGAGAGAGAGAGAGAGGGCGAGATAAGCTGAAAAAAGTTATGATATTAAATGATAATAAAATTTATTGCTTCTGCTATTTTTAACTATTTATAAATGAATTATAAAAACTCGTAGTGAAACTTAGTAGAATGATAACTGTTTTGTTTTGATTTCTATCTTCAAAAAGTTTTCAATTTTCTAACTTTCGAAATTTTAATTTCATTTCATTTATATATCCATCATTATTTCCAATTCTTTCCTTTCATGAATTATTTCATTAACAATGGTTTCTTTAAGAATTACTTTTTAAATATTTATGATAACATTGCACTCATCAAAAAGGGAAGAAAGAAAAAGTGGAAATTAGGTCACACTTCATCACTTATCTTATTTTACAGGACAGTAAAGGCTGAAAAATATTTTTGGCTAAAGTTTAATTTTTTCTTCATTTTTTTTTCTCTCCAACTCTCTCTCTCTCCCTCTCTCTCTCTCTGTATTCAGATCAAAATGATATGAGAGTAATTTTGCTATTTTTAAAATTGCATTTTATATTGATGATTTGAAAGCTGTCTTTATTTTCCTTTCAAATTATTGAAAACAATTCTTTATTTGTCTCCTAGTAAATTTCCTTCTTGTCATTGCTATAATCATTTTTTATCGATTCCCATATGATTATATATCTTTCCTATCATAATCATCAATATAAAATTTGATTTTTTTGCAAGCAATTAATTAAAATTTTGAGGTTTGAAATTTTGGATATATTTATTATGTGACAATGTGATCTAATTTTGTTCTTTTCTTCAGCTCTTACTTTTTAGACTTTTGTTCTAATGATATGTAGAAAATACCAAAGCTTTTCAAAAATTTTCTTTATTAAAGTATGAAATTTATTGGATTTAGAACTTTTTTGATAATGAATTACTTCAAAATAATTTTCATTAAATAAATTCTTTTGAAAATTTTTTCAGAAAGTTAGCTAATTTGAAGGAACTTAGGAGTATTCTATTTACTTTGCATGTTAACTTACGATTAAATTTAGAGTCATTCGAATGTATATCGAAAATAAACAGAAAATTTCTGCAAATTTCTTTTTTTTTTGATACCAATTCATTAAAAAAAAATATCTATTTTCATCCAAATCATATGACTTAACTAAGAAATACTAAACGGTGAACCAAAATTTCTATTGAAATTCACTTTTTTTTTTTTTTTTTTTAGAACAAGATATCACAATTAAAGTTGGTTGATAAATTTTTAGCATTGGTTTTTTTGTTTGTACAAAAATTTCATATTCATTTCATATATCTCTCATCATTTTTATCCTAGAAAGTTATTCCATTCCTTCAAGCTTTCACCTAAATGGTGATTAACAGTTGTTGGATGCATATTCAGAAGTCTAATTAAATCTGAAATTGTTGATGAAAAGAAATTCTTTCAGGAAAAGGTAAATATGAACTTTTTTTTTTTTTGGTATCAGAAGTAAATAACAAAGTTACTATTGAAGTATCTATTTCATATCATGATGAAGCATAAATAAATATAATAAAAAATGAAATGGACATTGAAGGAATAACTATCTTGTTAGTATCATTTATGACTCATCAAGTGACAGTTTTAATTTTTGTTATCAAAAAATAAGTCATAAATTATTTATCGTGCCATATATTTATAATTTGACAAGTGAGATATCCATGTGAACGAATTTAAATTGAGTTTAAGCTCAATTTATTAGATAAATCGTTTTTTCTTTTTCTTGAAACTGACTGATAGGTAAATCGTTTTTTCTGCAAACTGACTGATAGACAAATTGTTTTTTTGTTAAAACTGACTGATAGATAAATAGCTCTTTTTTTTTAGAATTTCTTTCTTTTTTTTTTTTGGAATTGATTAATAGATAAATCTTTTTTCTGAAATTGATTGAATAATATTTTTTGAACTGATTTTCTCATATAATTCTTTATTAAACGTTTTGAAAAATACATAATTTATCCAAAATTATATGTTTGTTTTTCTATTTTCCCTTTTTTCTCTCTTCCATTTTCTTCTCTTCTCTTTTCTAATTTTCATCATAGTGAGAGAAAAGAATAAAAAATGAAAACTAAAAGCTTCCTAACAAATAATTATGCCTAAATTAGCTATGGCCATTAAAATGACTCAAGCTTTATTATTTTTTCGCCATATATCTGCAGTTTCATTTCTTATCATTTTCCATCTTGAATTGCCCTTTTTGACATTTTCAATTTAGATATTTTTTTTTAAAGGCTTGTTACCTCTTGTAAGTTTTTAATTGTTTTCAGAATCTCACATTTTTTTTTTTTGCACCTAAAACTAACAAAAATTTTGATTTTTTGAAGTTTAAGCCTTGATATCTTAGTTTTTTTATATATATATATGCATATTTTCACATTTTCTTCATATTTTGAATTTTCATTCTTTTCAAGGATTTCTCTTTTTCAGTGTGAAAGTGCAATTTGAACGCAAAATAGCCACAAAAAATGCATTTAATTTCTGACTTAAATTTTACTGAATTCTCCATTACTGAATAAATTTATCATCAATTGATTTAATTTTTTTGTCACTTTAAAATCATTGAAATTGAATTCCTTCTAAAAATGTCCTGAAAAGAAATTGAAAGCTTTTCGCAGAATCTTATAAAATCTTGAAAAAGAAAGTTCAAAAAATTTTTAAAAACCTTGAAATGTTGAAAAAAGTTTTAAATATCATTAAAAAATCTTGCAGAACTTAACAAATAATAAAGAAAATTAAGATACAGCATAGAGTCTGCAAAATGTCATTACATTTTTACAGTATGTTAGAGTTTAATACTGATTAAATTTTTTTTTGAACCTACATTAGGTTAGTTTAATTTGTGCTTTATACCAATAACCAAACTATAACATAATATTTTGCTATAAAGTTTCACTTACTTTTTTATAGTAATGACTAATTCTAAGTATTTTTTATCTTGGCAAAAAAAAAAAGAAAAATTACAAATGAAAAAATAAAATATAATTTTGAAAAGTGAAATGAAATTAAGTTAAGCCTTTTTAATTTTAACAGCTTTTTGCTGGATGCTAATAATGATATGTGTTATTAAAAAATAGATTCCATCGATTGATTTCTCCTAATTCGTTTCGTAAGTAATCGCTTGTGACAACTGCAAAGGATCGATATGCAAGGAAATTGAATTTCAACTATTGAAATTAAATGAGCTCGAAAATTAAATTTCAGTTCAATTTGCATCTAGCAAGCTTGTGATTCGATTGTATAGAACAGGCAAGCCTATGCGCAAACCAAACCAATTCATCCTTCTTCCTTCTTTCTTCTTCATTTGTAAATACATTCATTCTTCTGAGCTTCTTTTAAATTTCACAAATAGTATGACTGTAATGTTGTTTATATTCAAAATTATAAATTCATAATAAATGAACAACTTTTAAAAAATGATAAATAAGAATAAAAATATTGGATCATTTCATTCCTAAAAATATTTCTAATCATTAATATCTTTATCCGTATATCTTAATATTTGATAAATATATCCTTAATGAAATTATGTTTCATCCTTAATCTTTCAAATTATTTGTATTTGTATTTATACTTATTGAGAACTTTATATTAGACTTATATAGCGCTCTCAATAAAAGAGGAACCAATCAGCAACGGAGAATGATGTTAAAATTTTAAAAAATAGTCATATATTTTAAAGTATTCATTGAATTAGTAATATATTCAATCAATAATAATTGTTGACTAATAATTTATATTTAACAATCTGAGTAAAGAATAAGTGGTGGTAGACAGGATTTATGCAAACTTATCATCTAAATTAATAATTTTAAAGTTAAAACTATTTTTAATTTAATTGATTTAATTATTCTCTCTTAGTAAAATTTCCCGTTGAATCCATTTATCCTTAAAAGTCTTTAAAAGTCTGCCGGAATAGATTTTCGATATTCTCGGGAATATCTTCCAAAAAATGACGGAACTCAGAACTCACCATTTCTGTGTGTCCCATTCTCACCTCACATTGTATATGGGTAAACCAGCACTTCCAACCAGAGAAGGACGTGGTACTCGTACCCACACTGGACTTAAGATATCATTGCTGTAATCGATAAGTAAGTTATTATCCCACAATGTCATAGAAATAAGGATTTCTCTTTTTTCCCTATAGAATCCGACTGTCACGAATATGTCCCTTTCCAACTTAGCTGACCTTTTCTTAACCCAAGCAATCATGAAGTAAACTACACTAAATATAATGATCACACCTTTTTAATTTGTTAAAACTTATTTAATCTATCGATAAAGTAATTAATTAAATGACGCGGTTAATTAAGCAAATTGTGGTAAATTACTATTAAATTGAATAGGTAACAGTTAGAGTTTCCCACTGTAAAATGATCCTTGTAAGCTTCTTGATTGTTTCATGCAACAAAAACAATTAGAAAAAGTCAATTAAATTTTGAACTGTTTAAATTTTGCAATATTGTGCTTATTTCATTATCATACAAATGCAGCTTGGCTGTTTTCATATCAAACTTAGGATGCTAACATTACTGAGTAAGTTGCTGTCTACTAATGATTATAAAAGTGGCTTTTATTCTTATAGAATGCTTCTACGATATATTAAAAAAGACATTTATTTTCTACTTTGCATAAATTACGTTTAGTTTTTCTTTTGTGAGTGAATTTACGTGATACGTGACATATCTAATTGTTGTCTCGTTTTTAGCTCACGTTCATCTCCATTCATTCCTTACATTTTCTTCAAAAGACGTGACTCAGTAATGTAAATTTCTATATAACAGTTAAGCATTCCGGTATCCATCTTACAAAATGCAGTAGAGCGGAAGAATGGTTAATTAAATTATTGACGTGTCGTATCGTTGAACTCTTGATAGACTAATCAGATATAACTTAGCTATATGCAAATCAAATTTTTTACGTCATCCAGAAACTTGTTGTATTCCAGTGAATATAACCGAGGTGTTTAAACAAAAAAGATATGAAATGAAAATGGGATTTATTGAGATGAGTGAAAGTTTTGATGTTTCATATGCATAAATATAGCTAAGATTCATTTCATCCATCGACTGATTAAGTTATACCTCAAGTAGTTCTTTTTTTTGTAGTTCTTTCCCTGCATGAAAATCATCACTAAATCTCTCAGGTAACGGTTAGAGATCTCCGATATTCCCGAGAATATCTTCCAAAAAATAATAGAACTTAACCCGTCATAGACGGTGTTTTCTCCTTATCGAATAATGCGTTCATAATTCCTTTATTTACAATTCTTCCAGCGGAAACATTCCGCTGGAAGAATTACTGGTATGCGGACAATCATCTCCACACCGAACTTAAGATGTCATTGCTGTAATCGAAAGGTAAGTTATTATCCAACAATGTCATAGAAATAAAGATCTCTCTTTTACTCTCACAAATTTGACTGTAATGAATTATGTTTGATTGTTATTTCTCATTTAATTCATGTCCTTTTCCAACTTATTGATCCATAGCTGACCTTTTCTTAACCCGAACAATCATGAAGTAAACTATATAAATTGACCGAAAATTTTGAGCCTAAAAATTGTAATACAAGCGATTCTCCAAAAGTTTGTAATCTACATTACTTAAGTTATTTATATTCATATTAAAATTTACCAATGTGAACATTGCAAATGTTTTAATAATGCATTGAATTAATTGCATTAAAATTTTCCGTTGAATCCATTTATTCTTAAAAATTTTTAAAACTTTACTGGAATAGGTAGAATTACATTTGCATTTATAATTTCCATTATAATACTAGTTTGAATTTTTGAATAAAAAAAAAATTCGAAACACTGAAATAAAGGTATGAAATAAGTTTAGAGAGAGAGAGAGAGAGAGAGAGCAGGTATACTGAGGCAACGAAACGTTGCTGACGTAAATCATTCAATTTTGTTTTGTTTTTTTCTTCTTTCTTAGCTGATGCTTTTTTGATTTCGGCATTCGCTCTCGAATTCATCTTTCTCATTTTTCTGAATAAAATATTTCTTTTCTTTTTTGCTTCAAAAAAAAAAAAAAAAATTTTCCTTTTTTTTTTTTTAATTGCAATTTTAGAGCCTTATAAAGTGTCAGATATCTAAGCATAAAAGAGAAGACGTACGAGATAACATAATGATAGCATTCTGAAATCGATTTCAGTATTTATAGCCTTTCAGGATAGAACACTTAATTGCATCCATTATGCATTCATGATTTATGTGATCTTATGTTTTAAACGATCTGATTGCTTCCTTAATGATTACTTAATTTTCATATTGAACATCAAAATTTGGATTTCTATTATCTTTTTTTTTTTTTAAATTAATTTTTTTCTATTTTTTTAGCACTGTGTTGAAATATTTTATCAGAAGTACTAAAAGATAATTAATTCTCATTAAAATATCTTTTTTTCCTTTTGAAACGTGAATTTTTGTTATCTTTTAAGGCGTTTTTGTGCTAAATTAAAATCTAGAACTAATTTATTTTTAAACTCTCATCTTTACAAAGTTAGATTTTTTCATTATTTATTTTGAATATGTACTGTTGGCATTACTAGTAGATCTCATTTTTGAGCAAATCAAGTGGTATTTCATATGATTTATTTATCATTATTTAGAAGTTTAGGATATCAATATTAATTCAGTGTCAAACAAAAGTTAAAATTTAAACATTATCCAAACTGATAACTGATACTGTGATAGAAGTTAGTAAGTAGTATTGCTGTTAAGTTCCAATTCCTATTTGCAACATTTGGATCAACCATTATAATTCACATATAAATAGACTGTTGTTATGAATAACCAAATGATTTCAAATTTTATCAAACAAAGAAATGAGCAGAAGAGTTTTAAAATGCATCAATGGTTACAAAAAAAAAATGGATTCAAAGACATTATGATACTATAACATACTTACATTTTAATAATTACTTCTTACAATTTGAATGTTATCACTTGAAATAGAAACGGCAATTAACAATCAATTATAATTAAATTTAAATCAATTATATCGTATCCAATAGGGAAGACCAAAATTATTTTTAATATCCTTACATGACATCGATTATAAGTAATTTTCTTTTCTAACAAACTTAATCAGATTGCTATGTGTGGAATTTTATTTTGTAAATATTATGATCATTCTTCATTTTTCTTTTTCTTCTTTTCTCAGTTATAAATTTTTATTTTTATTTTTTGCATTATCCGTTTAAAGAAATATTGCTATAAAGTTATAAATAAAGCTAATCAGAAAACAAAAATAGTAGAAAAAATGAAGGTGGAAAAGGTGTGAAATTAGTAAGTATGAGAAATTTAATAAATAGCTGTTTAAAAATTTAACCTTTTATTTTACCAATATGAAGGATATGAAGGAATTTGAAAGTGTAGGAGACGAGTGTTTTTATTTTTTATTTTAATGTTGTGACGTTCAGTTGTGAAATTAAGCTTTAAATTTTCTTCAAAAGGTGTCACCTTATGTACTCCTGCGCCGATTATCGAGATTGGTTTACTCTTTGTATATACTTCAGCTTTATTTCAAAAATCTATTCATCTGTTTTTTTTTCTTTTTTTCTTTCGGAGTTTCTGTGGTTCATATGTGATTTACGACAATATGTCTGTCCTCAAAATGTTATAAATTGAATTAAAAGAGGTATGATTTAAATTATTTCACACTTACAATTCAAAATTATTTTCGGCTTAAGCATCTGTTGTTGAATCGAAATATATTTCCAGTATTTTGGCACTAAATTGAAAATGAGACTATAAGTTAGGAAGGAATTCGTTAATCGAAAGATGAATGCAAATTTGATGTTTATCAAATTTAAACTACAAAAAGATACATAGATGTATAATAGAACAAAAATTAGTGCAAAATTTGTTTTTTTCTCCTAATGACTTGTAAATAGAAGCTTCCCTAAGTCCGAGATCGTAGATTGCTCGAGGATTGATTATGCAAAATTTATGGAAGTATATTATTATGATTAGTAAAAATATGGACATGTCCATATATCCTTATGTTAGCTCATATTTGGACGCATATAAATGAATATTCATATTTTTATTAGCATAAAAAAAAAAAAAAAATAGCCACGAGAATGTTATTCCTTTTCGCCTTTTTCCATTGGTTTTATTTGATTTAAATTTTTGAGAAAATCCACAAGCAATTCTTCTTTTTTTGTTAACTTATCCAAAAATGTGTTCCAGAAAATTCCCAAAAGCCTTTCCATGTTCCTAATTTAACAACAGCGTTCCCTCTGGATTTTACAGATCGTCAACCTATTTGCCTATTTTGTCTTATCGATAAAAAACAATCCATTGAGAGTGCGTTTTGCTATGGCAAGATCTTTGACAAAATCGCGAGAAGTATAGTCTACAATTTATGTTACATCTTCAAAAACAATCGTGGTGGATCAATTTTGAATGAAAATTCCTACTTGCTTTATAATAATACCGCAAAGAGTGAAAAATAAAGTGAAGTTTGGTGTTATAAAGTGAAGTTATAGGTTATAAAACTGAAAGGCAAAAAGTCATTCATCAACAAATAGATAATTTATTAAATGCATTAATTTGGTGCTATGCTTTTCAAAAATTTCTCTAGATATTCCAGTTCACTGATAATGTACAAATACTTACTAGACGAATGATATAATTTGCGCAATTTTCTTTTCTGAATAAATAGCAGTTTTTAAAATCATTTATTTGTTAATAAATCTATTAAATAACAAAACTATTTTCTTGACTGTTTTGTGATTATATTTCTTTTTTTTTACTTTATGCTTCTTGCTTCTTCCTTCCTCTTACCTTTTTAATTATTCTAACATTTCCTTGATCACTTCACTTCAGCTTTCCAAGTTACGAAAACATGTAATCATACCTCAACTGAGCAAAAATGCAGTTCTTTCCCCTACACGAAAACTACTAACAAACCCAGCATATTGCAACCATGAAATTTCGACGTTCTAGGAGAACATCTTTCAAAAAATAACAAAGCAAAGCAACCACTATCTGAGCACATCCATACTACATCGTCTCAATGCATAGAAGGGAAATCTGTGTTGTTGGACTCCTCGCAGTTTAAATCCGAAAGACCTAAACGTTGCATAACCCGCATGTCCGAAACTAACCTATCATTGCTATCATTAATGAGTAGATTACTGTTCAGCAGTGATTATAGAAATAAAGATGTACTCTTCCACAATTCACCCACTCGTT